TATTAAAATCTAAAAATAATAATTTTAAGTATAAAAGTTATTTTTATAACAAATATAAATTTGAGGACTAAAAGATAAAAAAAATATAATTATAGGACTAATTGTTCTCTAAAATAGGAAGTTTTCTGTTACCTTTAACCAAGTAGACGAAATTGAAATGAATTTCAAAGTTAATAAATCATTTAAAAATAAAACATAATTTCTAGATTAAAATAAAATCAAAGTGACAATTAATAGACTAAAAATTGAATTAGGCCTAAAAGAAAATGCCCATTCAACAAACTACGCATTTTGGACAGTAGCTAGAGTACCACGTTCCAATTTTCATAGAAAAAGTAAAACAAGGGGCAGGGCCAGGCTGATCAATAATTCATGTCCTCTCACCTGCCAAATGTGCTGTCAAATACTATGACCTGTCCCTTTAAATTGAACTTCCTTGAAATTTCCAAAGCAGAATATACCCCTTTTTCTATAACAAAAAAAAAAATATTATGAAAAATAAAATTGTATGAATATTAGGTAAAGTATCTATAATATTTATTAAAAATTATTTAACAAAAAAAGACCGAATAATATTAAGTCCTAGCCACTGATCAGGTCCAATGGGAAGACACGTGAAAGAAATTAAAATAGAAAGTATGAACAAGTCAAGAAAAGTTTATTTATTTATTAAAGTGGATTCATAATGGACATAATGTGAAATCATAAGTAACTTCTGCGGTTTTTGTATTTTATTGTTGTCCCGAGTTATGCAACTAGTGCCAGCTAAACTCTACAATTTCTTGGGTGAATGAGCTCATCGGTTTAAAATGGAGAATTTTATAAAAGACTAGGGCTAATCCCATGATTAGGCTGAATTCGGATTTGGGGCCTACTGTTTTTTTTTTTTTTTTGAACAGAGGGAATTTTTCAGGGGAAGGAGAAACTAGAACTTGGAAATAAAAGATAATCATTTATATCCAGTGACACACCTTCAAGGGGTTTAACGTTTTATTGCAGCGATTTAATTGAATTCAAATTCCATAAAACTTTAATGGCAAAAATTAAAAGTATGGGATAAGTATCCAAATTTGCATAAAATTTGTAATTCCAAACCCAAATTTTAATTGTGCTTAATTAAAGTCTTAAATTGTATGAAATTTTCAAATCAGATCTTGATTGGATTGAAAATGAACTTGACGTCAAATATTTTATAATACCCACTAATATCCATCAAATATCTTAGTTAGGTGAGAGAGTAATGAACATTAACAAGCATCATAAGACGTTTGACAATAAATTATTTTTTTATTTAATTAAAATCTTATTTAAAAATTTCATGTAATTTGAGAATTAAATTGAGTACAATTGAAATTTGAATATGAAATTATGAATTTTGTGTAAGTTTAAGTTCTTATCCCATACTTTTGCCAACTATAAAGGAACCAGCCAAAAAACTAAGCAATAGCATAAATATTGAGTCTCACGACAGGTTCTCTCGCTAATATTAAATATTAGATTCTTTAGTAGGCAAAACTCATTTCATAGTATTTTTTTTTTATGTTAGTTATACAATAAAAAATAATTATTTTTCATCTCTCATTTCATTTCTTCTCTCCTTTCAATTCATAATATTGATGATGATATTAATTAAATTTATACTAATTAAATGTGAGTAGTTGGTTCACGAAATTGACATTTAATTTGTGAAATAAATTTTAACCATCATGTGGGCCCTACCATGCAATATTTTTATAATTGGATAGGATGAAAGTATATATTGTGGGATAGTTTATGTGGACTCTAAAATCAATTTTTCTCAAAATCATCTCAAGGCAAACCCTTTAGTACTCAAGGATACAGAGGTACAACCCTTTAGAAGTGATCCTGGTCAAGTAAGATTTAATCTTAAAGCACACCCCATGTTAAGACTTACATGTGCATTCAAAGAAATTAAAATTTCTTTTCTACTCATCCTAAAATTTGATGTTAAATTTCTTGTCATGCCCAAGCTTAACTGTGTCTTCACATGATCACACAATTTTCAATAAATAACAAATAGATGGATCGATCGATTTCGCCCGGTGACCTACCAAGGCGTGGGGAAACCGCGCGACACAACGCGCGGCGCGGCATTATTTTGTATAATCAATCGCCAAGTCTTCGTCGCTGTCGTTGTGGAAAGGCTACCAAACAGCGAAATTTGCACGCATTTTCAAATTTTGGAAAATTATTGGGTTAGAATATTGATGCCTTTAGGCCCGCGCTTGCGGCAACGGGCGGATTTCTTACTCCATTCTGAATTATAAATAGGTATGGTAATAAGGAGGAAAGTGTGTCCCCGACCCTGCCATCAGTCAACTCTTACAAACTTACTACGCACGCGCGACAGAGAGCTTGCAATATGGCATTTGCTGGATCAACGAAATCTAATGGATGTAAGAAAGCAAGAATACTGTTAAAAGACAGAAGGCATTGTGAATATTCAATGAGGAGAATAATCAGCATTCGGGTATTTTAATGTTGTTTCGTTTTGATGCCATTTTTTTATGCCATTCTTTGATGTCATTTTGGTTAATTTGGTATTCATATGTTGCGGCATTTGGTTTTTGAAACAGAGGAGACGATCGGTTCAGAGAATAAAATCGAAAATCAGAGAGCTGAAAGCAGAGATGCAAGAGATAGGTGTGGAACAGAGGAGTATTAGAATGGAGCAAAAGAAGGTAAGGGAAAAGTTTGAAGAAGTTGAATCAAAGTGCCAACAATTACGCAGGGAGAGTAGCCTGATAATGCAGCAGAGTGACAAAACCAGAGTCCGTTTGGTACTTATGCTGCATATCCTAAAAGCTAGAGAAGACAACGATTTGGCCAAAGCCACTCAGCTCACCCGGGCTCTACGGTTAGTTTTAGTCCCTCATTCTTCTTATTGGTCTTTTTTTATGATCTTAATGATTTTTTTTTTTAATTAGTAATTGTAGCTGTTCTCATTATATAATGTGTCATGGAGCCTGCCCTGAATATTATGAGACTTGTTTCCTTTCAAAATTAAATTTAAAATTAAATTGTATAGTTTAAATTATAATTTTTTTTTATTAATTAGTAATTGTATCTTTCTCTCCTTTTATAATGCAGTGAACTTATAGCGAACCAGAATCAGAACCAGTGATCTGTGATACACCACCTTTGGGCGAGAGAGGAGCCAATAAATAATGGGATATGTCAAAGCAGTCCTACAAAATGAAAAAATTGATTCAACTATGGTTTGCTCTTTACTGCATTAATAAAGAATTTTTAAGTGTGTGTGTGTGTGTGTGTTTTTTTTCTCCCATTTGGCCTTTTACAGCTCCCAAGTTTGTAAAATGCATATTATTATCCACTCCAAACAGAGAAGGTGATTTGCGTTACCCTCAGCATCCCACGACAGAGAGTTACGGTGTGAGATATAGCAGGCACAAGCTATGAATTCTGAATGGTTAAATGTTAAATTTTAAGTCTCTAAACTTTTAATTTTAAAAATGTTTAGCTTTTAAATTTTTTTTTTGTCCTTAAATTATAGAAAATATATTTTTTAAATTATTCTATTAATTAGTCTGTTAAATCTATTTATATATGTATTTAAAGTTGAGAAATTAAAAATATATATATTTTGAACAGATTTAACAGATTAATTGATAGAATGATTAAAAAATATATTTTTTATGATTTAAAAATCAAAAAATACAAAAAAAAAAATTTAATAACTAAAAATGTTTAAAATTAAAAATTTTAAAAAGTAAAACTGATATTTAACCATTCTGAATTGAGTTCGGCTTTTTAGAATTACATGTATCACAACTCAAGGAGGTTTTAGGCTTCTTAGATTTCGGGCTAAATTATTTTAGTTGGTGTCAAGAGTGTTTCTTCTTAGCAAAGTATATCCCAAAAGTCTGGTTTCTTAATTTGCCCAAAATTATGTATTCGAAGGAATTGTAAATTTATCATTGTCATGTACTTTTGAATTATTCTCTCAATGGATAAATTTCCACTTGTAGATTGAAATATAACCTTTGTTTAATTTAGTTGTTAGATACAACTGATAATTGTTGTTGTTAGTTAATAGAATAATTAATATTTTATTATTTAATAGTTTAATATTCTATTACTAGTTAATATCTAAACACATTAACTAGCTATTTAAGAAAAAAAAAAAAACCTCTAAACTACTAAAATCAACCAAATCAAACATATTCTTAATTTGGTGACGCATTTATATTTCATTTCTTGGAATTGTATTATCTAAGCCCCTAAATTTTAAATTTAAATCTTTGACTTAATTAAATAACCTATCAAACAAATTTACTAGGTATATAAATAACAGTTTCAAGCAATACACTAGATCAAAGGAGTTCAACCTCAAGAACTAGAACTAAAATTAAAATTAATTGAATTTCTACGATTTATATGTATGATGCATGCTGAATCGACTTTTGTCATGTTTAATAAAACCTCAACTTCAATCTTATTTCTCTTTTCCTTCATTTATGTTTTATTAATTGCTACACTAATTTTCTTAAAATATTATGAAACTAACTAAGGTAACGCGACAAAGTTATCTTTTTTTTTTTTTTTCCAAATTAAAGGTTAATATTATATCTTGTATATATCCAAAAGGTTAGGGACCAAATTTGGTCCATGTCAAAGGTTGAGGTAATATCTCTATATTTTCCAAGGTTAGGGATCGAATTTAATTCTAATTAAAAGTTGAGGCAATATTTGATAATATCCAAAGGTTGGAACCGATATTAGCTTTTTTTGGTAATTAAAGAAAACATTAATTTATTGACTTCTTAGACGTCAGTTCTTTTTTTCCTTCTTAGATGTTATTAGTTTTTGTTCTTTGTTTGGAGCCTCGTAATCTTAATGTTAGTTAGATAAATCTTTTCTCTTATATTGAATTGATATTGTTTAATAGCATAAAACTATTTTATTTTGAATAGGAATATATTTATATATAAGTATTATTTACTATATTTATATAAAATCTTAATTATATATATTTTTGCATAATTAAAATATATTATGATTTTTTATATG